GAAGAAAAGGGAATCCTTGCACATTATTCGTAGGAATTCAAGTTAATAGAGCCATAACAAAAACCAATATGAAAGTTCTTAAAAACATTAAAACTAAAACCATCATAGGATCCAGCAGTCCCACCTCTGGGCATACATCCACTGAAAATTAGGGCTGGGGATTTAGAACAGTGGCATAAACACTTGCCTGGCAAGCAAAGTCATGAATTCAATCCCTGGTACCTCCCCCCAAAGAGAAAAAAAAAAAACAAATAAAATTAAATCACTGCATTTAAAAGATATCTGTATTCCTATGCTCATACTATTTACAATAGCTGTAAATGGAGTCTATCCATGGATAAACTGATAAAGGAAAGTAGTATATGTATACACAATGGAATATTATTCAGTCATAAAAGAACAAATTTTTTGACTGTAATAATATGGTTGGGACTGGAGTACATTATGTTAAGTGAAATAAGTCAGAAACAGAAAGGCAAGTTGTGCAGAATCTGACCTATATATGATACCTAAAAAGCTTTTCTAGTAGAAAAAGAGTATAAAATAATACTTACCAGAGATACAGGAAATTAAGGAGGTAGGGAGACAAGGAAATATTAGTCAGTGGGCATGAAGTTAATTAAATAAAAGGAATAACTTATGATGTTATATTACACAGGGGGACCATATTTTAAAAATAATATGTGTATTGCAAAACAGAAAGGGAGATTTTAAATAGTCTCATCATGAGAAAGGATGTTTGATGTTATAGATACACCACTAATTCTCCTGATTTGATCATTGTATAATATATATAATATATATGTATATATACTATATATGTATATATTAAATATAATATACATATACAGCACGGTATACCACAAATGTGTTACTATTAATTATTGTGTGTGTTAGTAAAAATAAATATATGAATGGCAAAACACATGAATGAATATATTTCATGAGAATTTCTGAGCACAACGTATGCATTCCACAGCACTATTTGCTGTGAAATGAGAAATATCTTTGAGATTTTTCTTGGAATATGTCCCAAAAGCAAATAATGAAAATGTAGAGATATAGAGCTTGACCACATTGTCTTTTTTTTAAATAGGATTAAAAGAAGCAGGTGAAGTCTATGCCTAATTAATAGGCAGTAGAGGCCAGAATATATTTTAAAAGATGATGTATTTCTTCCAGGAATTACTTTGTGAAGCATTATCTATCCCTCATGCAATGAGAAGTTTAACTTTCACTTCATATTCCTACAACTTCTGTCAGAGCAGATAGCATAAAAGTCAATCACTTAAGAATGTCTTTATTTTTCCTATTGAAAACCCATGTTTTACAAAAAAGGATATAATTCCTTTGTATTTGAAATATATTCACAAGAAAACTAATGTGCCCCATGACCTCTACACCTCTTAATGTACTTGTCATTCATCCTTTTAACAAACATGCATTGAACATTTAGCTTCCTGTTGGATAATTAGTTGGGTAAGCTTTGTGGAGGATACAAAAGTCAGTAAGATGACATTCCTGTTTGCAAGAGGCTAATAATAGAAAGCAAACACATGTGCTATTACTATAGAACAGTACGTTTAAATCATATAGGAGATAGTAGTGAACTATGCCCACACTAGATGATGATGTATCAAATATCTTTATAACAAAACACATAAAATAGGAAAATAAGGTGAGCTGTGTTGGTGCACATTGTAATCCCAGCACTGGGGAGGCTGAGGCAAAAAGGTTGTGCAAGAAAGAGACCAGCCTGGGCTACATAGTAAGTTCAACATGAACTACATAGTGAGACCCTGTTTCAAAAAATTAAAAAATTACTTATCTTTCTAGAAAGCATATTTGTTACAATAATAAAAACAGTTCCATAGATTTACATGGGAAGAAATTCTTTATCAAAATATTTGATGAATCCAGTATATTAGTTAAAAATCCCTGAAGCCTCTGTGTTGAACATAGCAAAAAACCTAAAGGGAAGGTTAAGTCATTTGAATGTGAATGATAATCAGCAGATGTAATTTTCCTTAACATCTGTAAGTTCTCAGGAAGACAAAATTGTGAGGAAATAATGCTACTGTTTATGAGACATTTATAACACACAAGTTTTACAACTTGTTTCTAACATAGTATGTCTATAATTTTCTATCGTTTCTATTCTCATTCATTTGTGTGTGTCTGTGTATGTGTATACAAGCAACAATAGAAAAATAAGGCAATCTGAGATTGGGAGAAGGAAGAATGGCTATTAATTAGCATTCCTGATGTGGCAGAAATATTCTAAAATTAGATTGTAATTATGCTAGTATATCTGCATGAATAAACCAAAAGCCATGAAATTAGCCACTTTAAATATGTGAATTATATAAATAAAATCAGACCGTGATAAGCACTGTGATTGTCTTATAAATGAAGTATTATGGGCATAGTGGGGAAAAATATTAATTCTAACATATAAGAATGTGACACTTCTTAAAGGAGTTGAAATTTGAGCCAGGACTTGAAAATAAGCAGAAATCTAATATGCAGATATTAACAATGGAGTTGTGATAGAAGAGCATTTGATGCACAGGAAATAGCATAAAGAAACACACTGACAAAGGAATGTCTATGGCATTGCTACATAAATTGTGACTTATAAACTGATGCAATATATTTATTATTGGTTGGTCATGATAATGTATTAAAATGACAGTACTACTTTAGACTCTTTCATAGTACTGTAATTCAACATTGCTGTGAAATCCACAAGTTAAAAATCCTTTCTTACATTTTATACCTTATTGGTTTGTAACAAATTAGAAATCTTTTAAGAATGTGTTCTTCACTATAGTTGGTTTTTAAATTTATTTTTATTTTAAAGAGAATAAAACCAAGCAAAATAGAGTAAAACAATTGAAACAAAATAGTGTAAGTGACACAAGTTTTCAAAACAAGGTAATAGGAAATTAATGATGGCTACCATAATACCTCTTGTCTTCAAAATAGCTGCCTACAACATCAGCCATAGTAAAAATCAAACAATACAGAATAGACTAGAACCAATAAAAACCACATGATAAATGCAACACAGGACTTCAAAACAAGATAATAGTAAATCCAAAATGGGGATGATATCATAATATATCTTGTTATTCTTCAAATAGCTGACTACAGTTGATTTGAGCAACTGTTCTACTTTCTTGTCTTTGAAACACAATACTTGACACAAATTAGTGGACGAAAGGTTTATTTTAGCTCAGGATTTCTAGAACTTTCAGTACATTGTAGGCTGGCTCCATGGCTGAGCGACATGGTGGGGGAGGCTTACTCATGGGCATGAGGTTGAAGCAGAGAAAAGGATCAAGGGATGTGGGAGGGAGCTAACCCTTTCTAAGTCATACCACAAATGACCATCTCCTCTGACCTGGCTTCATCTTCCAATTACATTTAGCTATAAACTCAACAGTGAACTAATCCACTGATGTGCATCAAACCTTCATGAGTGAAAAGGAAGACAAAAGGAAAAGATGAGATCACTAATGTTTCCTATACAAGAACTTGAGGAAATTAAGGTTTATAACAAACAGCCAAACCCATCTTAAGCAAAAAGGACAAAGCTAAAGTATGATTCAAATTTCAAAGTATACTACAAAGCTATATTAACCAAAACAGCATGGTGTTGGGATTAAAAACAAACACACAGAACAATAGAACAGAACAGAAATCAACAAACCAGTATGCATTCACAGGGAAACAACTTTCAATACAGTTACTAAAAATACACAGTAAGCAGGATGATCTTTTTAGCTCGAGAGTTCAAAGTCAACCTGGGTAACCCAGCAAGACTATCATCAAAATAAAGTGAAAATGAACAAAAAATTTAAATTTAATATCTTCCTTAGAATAAACAATAAAAAAGTATATAAAACATTACAAATAAATAATTGTCTCTGTGTTGTAATTGTAATTTCTTATTGCTTGTCCTATTAGTCAAGGTGCAGTTTCTTTCTATGGAAATACTTTACAGTTATTTCTCATTCTAACAATATTAATATTAATATCTTCGTATCTACAAGTCAGTAATCACTGATTACAAAGTTTTTAGAAAGGAATTATATATATTATACATCTATGCATACACATATATTTTATAGATATATTACTTTAAAAACTGCTTTAGAAGAAATATGAAAGAGCAAAAATTTCTTGTATTTTTTCTTTTTGAAATTTCTACTAATTGCATACATGTTACTAATCACATGTAACATTTGACTAAATTTAAAATTTTGAGGCTGATGGTACAGCTCAGTGGCATAGTGCCTGCCTGGCAAGCACAAGGTCCTGAGTTTGATTCCTGGTACTACAGAAAGAAAAAAAAGATGTTAAATGACAGAAGTCTTATAATAGAATGTAGACTCATATTTATGGTATGTGAAATTTTTAATTTTAAAGACTAGAGAAAGAAATCTTGTTTTATCAAAATAAAGAGTCCAGACTTGACTTGATAACTATATGATCTTGATGAAATATACTTAGTCTCTTAAGTCCCATTCGTTACTTCTAACACAACAGCATTAGAAAAGAAAAATTCTTAGGGACTATTCAGGCCTAAGAGTCTGTAACTGAAAATAATTAGACAAGTCACTCCAGAAAACACATTTTTACATTTGAAATACCAATCAATAAACCAAATTAAGTAGATTTATTTTGAACATTGAAGACTGAATTGTGAGCCTACACATTGAGCTATATTCTTGGCTCTTTTTAAGACATCATGTCACTTAATTGTCCAAGCTGGGCTTGAACTTTTAATAGTCCCACCTATGTGTCCCTGAATGCCACGCCTACAGGTGTGTTCCATCATTTCCAGCTCAAGCTATTTAGAAGTAAGAGACAATAAAGTAATAAGAATCCTCAATGAACTCAAAATAATATTCATATGTTTAAAATAAAAGAAATATTTTTCTGTGATATCCAACTAAATTCTAATAACATTTGCAGAAATAGGTAATACTCACAGATATTAAGCTGGCGTGTGAAGCTGGCTATATTATTATGTTTGAAGTATTTTGGAAGTACTTTTTTGGCAAAGATTTGTTCATTCACAATGCAAAAGCTCTGACCATTCTAGAATAAAGAAGATAAAATGTAGCTATTTACTTTAAAACTGAAGTTTAACTAAGGTAGCAATTCAACACCAATGTACCAGAACTAAAATACCAAAAGACTTGAAATGTAAAGCCAAAACCTCATTATAAAAATATTTAGGCTTTGAGATATATATATATATATCTATATATCTATATATATATATATATATATATATATATATATATATTTACTGGAAGAGTGAGTACTTAGCATGTTAAAGGTCCTAGGTTCAATTGCCAGCCCTGGGGAAAAATCATTCTGTAAAGAGACAAAATATGCCAAAACAGAAACTATGAAGAAAAATGCAATGGATTGACCACACCCAGAAAAGAAAATCCATGTACATAACCACCAAAATTAAAAATAAAGGCAACATAAATTAAAAAATAAAATAAAAACTGGAAAAATATTTTCAGTATAGACAACAAAGAACTATTATTAGCACATAATGAACTCTTAAAAATTATTAACACTCTTAAAAAATTTTAAAACACAAAAACTTCATTAGAAAAGAATTGGAAAAAAACATGAAAAAGTATTTGACAGAATTAACAAGTTAAGATTCAGAAAACTGACCAAAATATAAATTAAAAGTGTTATGAGACAAAATCATATCAAATTGGTCATTTTTTTTTTTGCCATTACTCTCCAGTCTTAGCAAGTTAATGAAAGTTCCAATAAACAAGCAACCATATACTTGGGAATTGAAATTGCTTATCATCTCTAACAGTATCTATTTAAAGCTCTATAATATTATCTTGGACTTAGAAATTCCTTTGAGAATAATTGCTGATATGTGTAGAATTTTAGCTATAAACTGCTAAATACGTGTATATAATATTTTTAAAACATTATGCCCCAATAATTTATAAAACTACACAAGACTGCCTGGTGAAAAAAACTGAAAACAACCTAAATACTAAGATATTGACTAAATCTATAAAATGAATGTTGTATAACCATAAAATGAAGCTTTAGAAGAATGTTTAATGAAATGGAAATATTTATAATTTCATTGAGAAAAGCAATCTTCCAAATAGTATAAAATATATCATTTTATGAATAATGAAGCTATCAGCCTAGAGACATAGCTCAGTGGTACAACACCAGCCTAACATGCCCAAGATTCTGGGTTCCATTTCCACTACTAGAAAAAATAAAATACCTATTTACACAAAATAATATTTTACAAGCTGCTAACATTGGGTATCAAAGGATGGTAATGTTATAATTTTTTTTTGGATTTTTTTTTTTTGGTTATTTTCATTTTTAAAGTTATCTGAAATAAATCTACTTTGATTTAAAACATTATTTTAAAAGCAGGCAAGTCGGGTATGGTAGTGCATGCCTGTAATCCCAGATCTCTGGGAGGCTGAGGCAAGAGGATTGCAAGTTTGAATCCAGCCTAGGCAAACTTAGTGAAACCCTGTCTCAGAATTTTACAAAAAGGGATTAAGGATATAGCTCAGTACAAAGACTCCGGATTCAATCTCCAACACATATTCTTCTCAAAGCAGACAAGCTGATAATACACATACATGTATATTATTCATTTCCCTAAATTGCAAAGTTTACATGTTTGATGAAATAACCAAATAAATTAACTTCAATATTACACTTTAAATTTTATTGTCCAATTGAATAAATATTTTTTAAAAACTCCTTACGTGTCAGTTTCCTGTATTACTTAATAACTCATAGATCATAGTCTAATGTGCTCTCAAAATTCCTGAATCACTCTTATTGTAGATTTGCATGCATTTAAAGAAAGTTGTGCCTGGCTGTCTGCCTCTCAAGAATCCTTGACACTATTTATAAACCAAACTGAACTACTGAAACAATATCCCCCGAGTCCACTTCAGCTCAGGATTTTCCCAGAGTTGAGTGGCCTGTAGAGATAAAAAAAGGAAATTTACATAATATCCTATTAGTCTATTCCTTCCTTTGACCAACTCCGTATGAAATACAAAAAAAAAAAAAAATGATGACCATACTCGGGAACTGAGAGTCTGAAAAGAAAATTACCTGTAAACTGGATAAATGATCTCTCAATAAATAAAGGTTTGATATACAATAAAAGGAAAGCAAAATATGATTATGTATGCTTCAACTGAATCACACTGTGTATTTTAGTCCACCTTTCACATTATCATAATTGAAGTGTTAATATTAAAAAAGAAATGCATCAAAATATTAATTGGAAAGTGATCACTTATATTTCACCTTTGAGTATCTATAAAGGGTACATTATCTTTCATGTAAAGTATTGCTTGAATGAAACGAAGCTAGATGTACAAAAAAGAGATGGAAATAGCAAATCATCTGTGACATATTTGTATAATGAAATATAATGTAAGCAATAAAATTGTTGCTTAGAGCCTGGGAATACAGCTCAGTGGCATAAGCGCCTGCCTTGCAAGTGTGTGGTCATGAGTTCGATCACCGGTACCGATAAAAAAGAAAAAGACAAAAAAAAAGTGCTACTTAAAAAAGTAACTTCATGGGAAAATGTTGACAATATTGTTTTAAAGACACAAAATTACATGCATTATGCAATATTTTAAATATCCTCTTAAAATTAAAAAATTGGCTTCATTCTGATTATAAAAACATTACATTCTCAATGTAAAAAATAAGATAAAATCATGCAAAAAGATTCAGTATCCAGAGATAATCATTAACATTTTAAAGAACTCTCTAGATATGTCTACATGAGTGTATATATATATATATATATATATATACTAAAATATAATAATACACTGACATAGATACACATTGATATATTTATAAATACAAACATGAAAATGAGATTTTACTAAAGTTGACTTAAGTAAGACAGATAAATATATTCTTCTGTAAATATTATTTCTATGATAAAATATGAAGAAAATCAAAATATGACTTACTAGAAATAACCAGTGTTTTACATTTTAGTACACTTATTAAGTCTCCATATCATAAATGTTCCATAATAAATATACAATGTATTTATAATTTTACTTTTTGATACCAAAGCTATCCTTTATTGTGTATTGTTCTATTTGAATTTTATTATTTTATCCCAGACTTTAACTATTTAGGGTACGTATTAATAAATAAAAGGAATCTTAATACAGGAAATACATTTAATAAATTGAGCATCTATTCAAGACACTAGGACAAGCTGTAACCAAAGAGTCTAGAAATGCCCATTTTGGAGTCATATTTTCTGAGGCTATTTAATAAGTACATCAGCTATGAAATGCCAGTAAAAGTTTTGATATTTTATAATTATTAACAAACAGAGATTTAGTTTGTAGCATATAAAGTGATAATTTTAGTAGGTCCACTAAAATAGAAAATTTATGAGAAAGATCATTAATAGAATAGTAACACAAATCAAATTAATGTTAGAACAGTGTGCGGCATTTTATTGACGTTTAAATCTATGGGAGGAAAATCTGTCTGCATCACTACTTTCCTGAACTTCATAGAAAAACCAATATGTATAACATCAAGTGTCTATCATTGTACGAACACAAGAAATAAACTTATATTAGGAAGCTATTAAAAATTAACAGGGCACTATGGACCTAAAATAGATTAGTTCCAGAGAATAATAAGTATAGATCATCATAGTATAAATATCCAAGAAAATAGAACAGTTAGGTACACAAGCTATGCTGTGATCATCAAGAACATGATCACTGACCACCTAGTTCTGAAGAGACTTTCGTTAGTGCATACAGAGAAGCATTCAGTTACTTTCTGGTGTGATTCATCCAATTTGTCCATATTAATAAGTGGCCTTGTTCCCAAAGACACATAGTATGCTTTATCATCAAAGTCACTTTCATCAAAAGTTTTATCATCATTTGTAAGATAAGATTAATGTGTAGAATAAAGTCATTATTTCTCACAGAGTAAGGCCAAAGGCAAATATGTTTGCCTTGTCAGTAATGACATTTTCCATTCAAGCAGACTTGAGTTTCAACGACTCACTACCCAGTGTTCCTAAGTAACATTTTAATTGCTTCAAAAATCACCTTTAATTATAACAATTGAAAATTGTATGCCTCCATAAAGCAGTTTCTTTACTTGGTGCAGGTACTTCAACCCTCTCACCATGTTCAAAACAAATTTTAAAATTATAACTGCTGGAAAAGGACTTTGGCTGTCTTTATATTGCTCTTCTAGTAATTCATTGAGAGACTTCATCCCTATAGTCCATAGCAAAGCACATGCTTCAGTAAGAGTGCGATAACTTAATTGTATATGATGGTTTTTTAAAAGTTTAGCTTCAACAGTTAGTCTCTTCTAATATATACTTTGATACTTATTAATCTTTTTCACAGGCCAAGGAGAATGAGACAAAATTCTTGGAGACTTTTTTTTGGCACAGAGAATCAAACTCAGGACCTTGCATATGTCAGGAAGGCATTGTGCCAGGGAGTTATATTCTCGGCCCTGGGGATCTTTTCATGAGGTAAACATTTATCCCAGTCTCATCGGCAAGCTCCTGCATAAATGGAGGGGCAGGGATATTTATACATGGAGTTGAATATAATACAGATTTTCTTTTTCGGATTAATTTGGTGGCCTGAAATTATTGATCCCTTCCATTGAAGCAACCACTCTAGATCAGAAAGCTGGGCTTCAGACTCTCTTTTATCATTGTGACTTGCCAAATCACCTCGCCACAGTTGCACACCAAGGTAGAGAAAAGCTGAGCATAGTGACACAAATCCCTGCATTTGGGAGACCAAGTCAAGAGGATTACCAAGAGTTTGAGATCAGTCTGGGGCTACACTACTGAGTTCAAGGCCATCCTGTACTACAGAACAAGATCTTGTCTCAAAAAAACTAGAAAAAGAAGAAAAAAAATGAGTAAAGTGACCACAGTTTACACTGGAGGCTGCCAGGAGGAGCAGATCCTGTAGCTGAGATGCCGCAACTTGGCGCACACAGTAGTAATGACCATTGTGTTACCAACACTTCAAGCTTTTCAGGCTTTGTATTATTCCCCAAGACTGCCCTACCTTGCCAGGAGCTGCAAAGGGATATTTACAACTTTAAAGTACTTTAAAACTTAACTTAAAGCTGATTTAGTATCATCTTACTCTGAAGTCATACTATGCTTTTGTTTTTCTGTTGCCTTTGGTTCTATCCTGTTATATCTTATTGGATATTATTATGTGTGATAATATAAACAAATTTTCTATGGAAAATGAGATAATATCGTAGCCATTGTTCATTCTCTGCTATTTGGTTCTGAAAGCCCTGTAGTGCTTTCATTCTCTTGAATGGTTTTATACTATTTTGTTATGCTTGATACTATCATATATGAAGCTATGCTCAACTATTTCAAAGAAAGAGACACTATGGTAGTTACTGTTAATTATGTGTTGTCTTGTGGTAAAATGCTGTGTTACTTGCATTATTCTGATCTGATATGCTTTGTTATGACCTCTTTTGTCTTAACCTCTTTAAAATAAAAAAAAAATTTAAAAAAAATTAATTTTACTGACACATACACAACTCTTCAGAAACTAAACTATACCATAAAATAGTTACCTGTGTGATTATGCATCTCTTCCTAACAAATACTATAAATACTCTATTACTCTACATTACTTTTTATAAAATGCAACTTCTCATTTCAGCTCAAGTAAGAACCGAAACACTGCTGTCAAATTTGCCAAGCTAAAGGTGGCTTCCAGTTGGTTCTGAGTTACATTAAAAAAAGCAAGTTTGGTAGATATATACATCCTTAAAAAATAAGAAATTCTACTTCTAAATCACTATTTATCATCATAAAAATCACTATAATATCATACAGGTCATTTGGTAATAAGAGCAGTCATTAAAATGCTGTTACCAGATTTGTTTCGATCCCTGGCAAAGCACACGAGCGTACACACACGCACAAACACTCACGTAAACACAAACTCATTTGAGTCATTTAATTTAGTAATTATTCTTCTGGAAACTATTCCAAAGAGGCAGAAACCATCAAAAATGTGTCCATAAAATTTTTATATCGTGCTAGGCGTGGTGGTGCACACCTGTAATTCTAGCACTCAGGAAGCTGAGGCAGGAGGATCACAGTGAGTTCAAGGCCACACTGGGCTACACAATAAGCAAGTTAAAGACAAGCCTGCACTATATGGCAAGATCCTGTCTCGAAGAAAACCAAAAAAGTCATCTTATATCCTCATGGCATTATTACTGTTATTTTTAAGCTGAGACTATGGGCACATGGCACCTGGTTCTTGGAACTATTTTTAATAGTAGAGATTATTTTAAATATCCAAATGTATAAAAATACAGTGGTTAACAAGGTTTCAGATGGATTACATAGTTATCAAAACAGTATTCTGATTTTATTTTTGATATGTTGTACTATATTTTCCAGGCTGACCTTGTATTTCTGGGGGTTAAATGATCCTCTTGCTTCAGTGGCCCAAGTAGCTCAAACTATAGGTGTATATCAAAATAATATTTTAGCATATTTAATGCCATAGGAAAACACTCAAAATATAAAGCTAGTGCAAAAAGAAAAATTCCAAAA